CCTTTTCCCCCCCCCCCCCCCCTTCCTTCCAGGCCATGCAGAGCAAAGTGGAGCTGTCAATCAACATCTGATCCACCTTGCAAGCAGCAACCGCTGTGAAGTGGATCAGATGCCTGACTGACCGCTCCACACTTCATTGCTGGCCGGTGGGGATTTGGAGAGGGACGTAAAAAGCCAACGCAACGTCACCAGAACATGTGATGCCCTGCGGCTTTGCCCAGCCCCTCCATTTGGCCCGTGTTGACACGGGCAGTTTGGCCGATTACCCCCCAAAGTAAACCATGCTTACTTCTTAGAAGGAGAGCATGTGCACTGTGGTGGCAACACAGCAAAGGCTTTACAAGCCCACTACTCATTGCCATTGAGAAGGAGGTGCTGGTGAATGGCAGGATCAACAGGTGAAGAGCACAGGGAGATTGCAAAACTTGACAGGAAGGTTTTACCTTTTGGGGGGTTTTGCTGGCACTTGCTAAGTTTCATGTGGAGCAGCCGGTGAACTTGCTATCCCCACTCTCAGACCTGCATTTGGATCATGCCAAGAACTGAAGCAGATCCATGCTGGTGTGGTCAGTTTGCATCCTTGAGCTCCTGACCCGAGTTAAAGGATGCCGTGCTGATACACAGTAGTCAGCCTGGCAGACGTGCCCCTCGGCCCAACCCATGTTGACTGACAGTGGCTGCTAGCAGGGGTCTCGCCGTCAACACTGTAGCACATTGCGAGGAACGCAGCAGAGATTGCCTTCCAGGTGCAACATAGCAAGATGGGAAATCGCGCGCCCTCAATGAAAGCAGCTACGTCCCCACCATCGGGAAGAAAAAAAGAGCAGGAAGCCTGTGCGGTCATGTGACCACCCAATAAAAGTGCAAGTTATGGCCTAGTCTTTAACTCATGACACTGCTTCATATACTGTACATCACAGTCTGTGTATTTGGAGACTTTACATAAGCTTTATGATCTCAGCGACGCCTGTTTATCCGGTTCCTACAGTATGTACCCTGAGCATCTCTCATCAGATTTTACAATGCACGCATTCACAGGTAGGAATAATAGTTATTTATATGGTGCTGTTAATGGACGCCACTGTGTTTAGCCAGGAACCAGAACTATCCCAGGTGGAGTCCAGTGAGGTAACTTCCATAAACACGCGTGTCGCTATTTTATTATGACGCTGCAATGCTTATAAAGAAGTTTCTAATCCGTAAGGGAGAAACAGATGTTATCAAATGAAATAGATTTTTGTTTTCCACATTCAGGTAACAACTGGAAGGTCACATTATGGCTTCCTGTCCCCCGTGGGTCACCGCTTCCTACAGGAATGTTCATTTAACATGGGAAGCGAATCAGGAAGCCAGACAGCACCTCATTACTTGCCGCCCGGCTTCCTGATTGGTCAGGTTGCCTCGGGAAATGAAGTCGATGTTCTTTTGTTAGAACATCGGCTTCATGGGCAATCAGGAAGCTGGGCAACAGGTCATGATCTGCCAGCCCAACTTCCTGATAATCTCGGCACACGGCACCGGTATTGGCGAGTGCGGGGAAAAAAGTATTAGTACTCGATACCAAAAAAAACAGTATCGCTGCATCCCTAGCATCAGTATGGAATTGCCCCCACCCCCCTTTTGAGGCAAAACCTGTTTCTACTCCACTGGGAAAGCTTTCAACTGGATTTTTGGAGTGTCGGTGGAAAAATGTGCCCCTTTATAAGGCCAGCTACAGACGTTGGATGAGAAGACCTGTCCCACAATCATTGTTCCAATTCATCCCAAAAGGTGTTCGTTAGGGTTGTGTGCACTAGGGTTGTGACACTCGAGTTCCTCCACACCCAACTCATCAAACCATGTCTTTATGGAGCTGTGTTTGTACACAGGGGACAGTCATGGTGGAACAGAAAAGGGTCTTCACCCAACTGTCACCACAAGGTTAAATGAAAACAATTGTCTACAATGTCTTTCTGTGATGCAGCATTAACAGAATCTTCATTGGAAATACACGAGACACTGTGAAAAGGTGCAGACCAGCAGACCAAGAGTCGCAGTCCTCTGGTATGAACATCCTTGGGACTTTTGAGGGTTGAAATCACCTCCTAAGTTTACCAGTGGCTCAGTTGCTTAGTGAAGCACAATAAATGGAAGCAACGCCTAGGGGGCTTTGTAAAATTTGGCAACATTGGAATCCCTCTTAGACGTAAAAAGTCTCCTAGTGATTAAAGGACTCTGAGCCCTCACGACTGTAAAGCGGACAATCAGTCACTAAGCATGTGACCCATTACAGGATAGAGCCTGGGGCACGGGGGCTGTCAAGGAAAGGCGAGAATTAGATCAACTGTTACCAAAAAAAGGGGTTGAGACCGGCACAACAGGTAACATTTTGGGAAATGGAGCTCCCTTTCACAGATGTTTAGGAACAATGAGAATTTTATTTCATTCACTGTTTATGTTGCCGGTTTAAAGTGGAACTACAGGATTTTTGACAAATTACTTACTTGTATCCAAACTTGTCCATGGCGATGGAGGCGTGCTTGGGGAACTTGTCACAGATGTACAGGTTGCGGTCGTCCTCCGGGATGAGGTCCACATCGTGGAAGAACAAGCATTGCCAGTCCTCGTCTTTCATGGCTTCTTTAAAGCCGACATTCAGCAGTTTTGCACGATTGAAGGTAGCGTTCCCAGCCTGCAGAGAGAGAGAGACGCAGAATGTTAACTACATGTGAAGAGCAAACCAGACCCAAAAAAAATCCTGGCTCGTCCTGTGAACTCTGATCCATTAAGAGCCACAAAATCTTTATATACCAATGTGACGGCTTGTCATCTCTAAACTGTGATGGCAGAGGACACTGCATTTTACATAGGCTTCATCTCCTGAAATACTTTGTGCTGCTTCCTCTAAGTCTCCTCTCCTGAAACACCTTGCAGTGCCGGGGGACTCTGCTCCTTCCTTTAACTCTCCTATCCTAAAAAAAAAACCCTCTCCTCTCCTAAAATAATCTGCTCCTTCCTCTAACTGTCCTCTACTACAATACTGTGCATTGCTGGAGGACTCTGCTCCTTCCTCTACTACAATACTGTGCATTGCTGGAGGCCTCTGCTCCTTCCTCTCTCTGTCCTCTACTACAATACTGTGCATTGCTGGAGGCCTCTGCTCCTTCCTCTCTCTGTCCTCTACTACAATACTGTGCATTGCTGGAGGCCTCTGCTCCTTCCTCTCTCTGTCCTCTACTACAATACTGTGCATTGCTGGAGGCCTCTGCTCCTTCCTCTCTCTGTCCTCTACTACAATACTGTGCATTGCTGGAGGCCTCTGCTCCTTCCTCTCTCTGTCCTCTACTACAATACTGTGCATTGCTGGAGGCCTCTGCTCCTTCCTCTCTCTGTCCTCTACTACAATACTGTGCATTGCTGGAGGCCTCTGCTCCTTCCTCTCTCTGTCCTCTACTACAATACTGTGCATTGCTGGAGGCCTCTGCTCCTTCCTCTCTCTGTCCTCTACTACAATACTGTGCATTGCTGGAGGCCTCTGCTCCTTCCTCTCTCTGTCCTCTACTACAATACTGTGCATTGCTGGAGGCCTCTGCTCCTTCCTCTCTCCGTCCTCTACTACAATACTGTGCATTGCTGGAGGCCTCTGCTCCTTCCTCTCTCTGTCCTCTACTACAATACTGTGCATTGCTGGAGGCCTCTGCTCCTTCCTCTCTCTGTCCTCTACTACAATACTGTGCATTGCTGGAGGCCTCTGCTCCTTCCTCTCTCTGTCCTCTACTACAATACTGTGCATTGCTGGAGGCCTCTGCTCCTTCCTCTCTCTGTCCTCTACTACAATACTGTGCATTGCTGGAGGCCTCTGCTCCTTCCTCTCTCTGTCCTCTACTACAATACTGTGCATTGCTGGAGGCCTCTGCTCCTTCCTCTCTCTGTCCTCTACTACAATACTGTGCATTGCTGGAGGCCTCTGCTCCTTCCTCTCTCTGTCCTCTACTACAATACTGTGCATTGCTGGAGGCCTCTGCTCCTTCCTCTCTCTGTCCTCTACTACAATACTGTGCATTGCTGGAGGCCTCTGCTCCTTCCTCTCTCTGTCCTCTACTACAATACTGTGCATTGCTGGAGGCCTCTGCTCCTTCCTCTCTCTGTCCTCTACTACAATACTGTGCATTGCTGGAGGCCTCTGCTCCTTCCTCTCTCTGTCCTCTACTACAATACTGTGCATTGCTGGAGGCCTCTGCTCCTTCCTCTCTCTGTCCTCTACTACAATACTGTGCATTGCTGGAGGCCTCTGCTCCTTCCTCTCTCTGTCCTCTACTACAATACTGTGCATTGCTGGAGGCCTCTGCTCCTTTCTCTCTCTGTCCTCTACTACAATACTGTGCATTGCTGGAGGCCTCTGCTCCTTTCTCTCTCTGTCCTCTACTACAATACTGTGCATTGCTGGAGGCCTCTGCTCCTTCCTCTCTCTGTCCTCTACTACAATACTTTGCATTGCTGGAGGCCTCTGCTCCTTTCTCTCTCTGTCCTCTACTACAATACTGTGCATTGCTGGAGGACTCTGCTCCTTCCTCTACTACAATACTTTGCATTGCTGGAGGCCTCTGCTCCTTTCTCTCTCTGTCCTCTACTACAATACTGTGCATTGCTGGAGGCCTCTGCTCCTTCCTCTCTCTGTCCTCTACTACAATACTTTGCATTGCTGGAGGCCTCTGCTCCTTTCTCTCTCTGTCCTCTACTACAATACTGTGCATTGCTGGAGGACTCTGCTCCTTCCTCTACTACAATACTGTGCATTGCTGGAGGCCTCTGCTCCTTCCTCTCTCTGTCCTCTACTACAATACTGTGCATTGCTGGAGGCCTCTGCTCCTTCCTCTCTCTGTCCTCTACTACAATACTGTGCATTGCTGGAGGCCTCTGCTCCTTCCTCTCTCTGTCCTCTACTACAATACTGTGCATTGCTGGAGGCCTCTGCTCCTTCCTCTCTCTGTCCTCTACTACAATACTGTGCATTGCTGGAGGCCTCTGCTCCTTCCTCTCTCTGTCCTCTACTACAATACTGTGCATTGCTGGAGGCCTCTGCTCCTTCCTCTCTCTGTCCTCTACTACAATACTGTGCATTGCTGGAGGCCTCTGCTCCTTCCTCTCTCTGTCCTCTACTACAATACTGTGCATTGCTGGAGGCCTCTGCTCCTTCCTCTCTCTGTCCTCTACTACAATACTGTGCATTGCTGGAGGCCTCTGCTCCTTCCTCTCTCTGTCCTCTACTACAATACTGTGCATTGCTGGAGGACTCTGCTCCTTCCTCTCTCTGTCCTCTACTACAATACTGTGCATTGCTGGAGGCCTCTGCTCCTTTCTCTCTCTGTCCTCTACTACAATACTGTGCATTGCTGGAGGCCTCTGCTCCTTTCTCTCTCTGTCCTCTACTACAATACTGTGCATTGCTGGAGGCCTCTGCTCCTTCCTCTCTCTGTCCTCTACTACAATACTTTGCATTGCTGGAGGCCTCTGCTCCTTTCTCTCTCTGTCCTCTACTACAATACTGTGCATTGCTGGAGGACTCTGCTCCTTCCTCTACTACAATACTTTGCATTGCTGGAGGCCTCTGCTCCTTTCTCTCTCTTTCCTCTACTACAATACTGTGCATTGCTGGAGGCCTCTGCTCCTTCCTCTCTCTGTCCTCTACTACAATACTTTGCATTGCTGGAGGCCTCTGCTCCTTTCTCTCTCTGTCCTCTACTACAATACTGTGCATTGCTGGAGGACTCTGCTCCTTCCTCTACTACAATACTTTGCATTGCTGGAGGCCTCTGCTCCTTTCTCTCTCTGTCCTCTACTACAATACTGTGCATTGCTGGAGGCCTCTGCTCCTTCCTCTCTCTTTCCTCTACTACAATACTGTGCATTGCTGGAGGCCTCTGCTCCTTTCTCTCTCTGTCCTCTACTACAATACTGTGCATTGCTGGAGGCCTCTGCTCCTTCCTCTCTCTGTCCTCTACTACAATACTTTGCATTGCTGGAGGCCTCTGCTCCTTCCTCTCTCTGTCCTCTACTACAATACTGTGCATTGCTGGAGGCCTCTGCTCCTTTCTCTCTCTGTCCTCTACTACAATACTGTGCATTGCTGGAGGCCTCTGCTCCTTCCTCTCTCTGTCCTCTACTACAATACTGTGCATTGCTGGAGGCCTCTGCTCCTTCCTCTCTCTGTCCTCTACTACAATACTGTGCATTGCTGGAGGCCTCTGCTCCTTCCTCTCTCTGTCCTCTACTACAATACTGTGCATTGCTGGAGGCCTCTGCTCCTTTCTCTCTCTGTCCTCTACTACAATACTGTGCATTGCTGGAGGCCTCTGCTCCTTCCTCTACTACAATACTTTGCATTGCTGGAGGCCTCTGCTCCTTCCTCTCTCTGTCCTCTACTACAATACTTTGCATTGCTGGAGGCCTCTGCTCCTTCCTCTCTCTGTCCTCTACTACAATACTGTGCATTGCTGGAGGACTCTGCTCCTTCCTCTATTACAAAACTATGCATTGCTGGAGGACTCTACTCCTTCCTCTCTCTGTCCTCTACTACAAAACTATGCATTGCTGGAGGACTCTGCTCCTTCCTCTACTACAAAACTGTGCTTTGCTGGAGGACTCTGCTCCTTCCTCTACTACAAAACTGTGCTTTGCTGGAGGACTCTGCTCCTTACTTACAATACTGTGCATTGCTGGAGGACTCTGCTCCTTCCTCTATTACAAAACTATGCATTGCTGGAGGACTCTACTCCTTCCTCTCTCTGTCCTCTACTACAAAACTATGCATTGCTGGAGGACTCTGCTCCTTCCTCTACTACAAAACTGTGCTTTGCTGGAGGACTCTGCTCCTTCCTCTAACTCTCCTGAAATACTCTGCAGTTCTGTTGAACTCTGCTCCTTCCAATTACTCTCATTCAGGATGAACTCCGACTAGGCGATCCATGCCTGAGCACATTTGACCCCAAAGTCTAGTTCAGGTGACCCTGATTCAGGTAATATCTACGTACTGTGCTCAGACATATCTCCAAGCACCATGTTCGGTCTCAAATTGGAAGAAGAGGTGGGCTTGAGCATGGTTCAGTTGGACTCGGGCCCAGCACAATGAGACCGTAGGTTAGCGTGGCATTGGGATAATCATGCTGGGCTGGGTACAAGGCAACTGTGCCTATTATGAGTATTACGTCAGTGTCTCCAACTTCCACCCCAACCTCTATGCTCTGCTGACTTGGCCGATATCCGATCAGTATATGGGCAGCTTCTAATTATCAGCAACCTGACTCAGAAAGCCTATAAACTTGAGATATACTTGGCTGAGCTCCTGAGAAAAAAAGTAAAACTGCATCAAAAGCAATATTTAATTAAACATACATGTTCATACATTTGTTGGTGCTGGCCGTTGTGCTTTTCCACCTTTTTCCCCAGTACAGCTCAGCATGGCGGTCATTGCATCCGGGGTTAGCACACTTTTATATTTTGTGTTTCCATGGCAGGTATGTTTGTTGAGAACGAGATATCCTCAGTAGACACTCAGATAAGAAGGGAAATAAGATAGTCCTGAACCATAAAAGCGGTTTATTATGGAACAAGCCAAAGACAAACACATAATAGACGCACAATGCAGGCTAGAAGAGGCCAAGAGGACTAACCTGTAATTTAGGAGTTATCAGGAAAACCCGCTCCTTCCAAACCCCTGATCCTTAACAAGCTTTTCAAGGGAAACTGGTTTGTTTAGTTGTTAGATCTGGATACATATTATCTTATCGCTTTCTTACAGGGAAACGGGCACATTGCTGACCTGGAAAGGTCCCCTCCTCTCGGCAACAAACCCGCCCCCCGCCGAGGCATGCGCCTGATCGATACCAATTGAGATAGAGCGGAGCATCGTGGTCGGCAAGAAGCTCAGAATAAAGTATGCCGGGACATAAAATAATACAAAAATTCAGTACATCTCTGCAATGCATGCTCACTTCTCTATGTCTCAAAAATAATGTTTCCATATGGATCTGTATAAACATTGATCCATATCTTGGATGTTACCATCAGGTTACAGCAGGGGCCAGCAACAGATTGATCGTGGTCATGTGGCTGGTAAATCGTGTCCACGCCATGTCAACCTTCCGTCAGAAGTACCCCCAAATATTGATTGGGTTTGGATTTCTGTTCATTTACTTTCCATTGTGTTAATTTATTAAAATAAACTATTAACACTTTTATTTCTGAAGCATTCTTACGTCACTGCATTTTTTCTTACCCGCCTAAAACGTTTGCACAGTACTGTATGTCTTGCTGCCGCTTCCCTGCGCCACTCTGAATATGGTGGGTAGGGGAGAGGAAGAGGGAAAGCAGTTCTGACAGGGGACATGCTGCTGGTACTGGGAGATACACTGATAGCACTGGGGGTGCCAAAATGGTGGCACTGGAATGATACGGTGTCACCTTATGATGGCACTAGGGTGACATGGTGTCACATTATGATGGCACTAGGGTGACATGGTGTCACATTATGATGGCGCTAGGGTGACATGGTGTCACATTATGATGGCACTAGGGCGACAGTGTCACATAATGATGGCACTAGGGTGACATGGTGTCACATTATGATGGCACTGGGGTGACATGGTGTCACATTATGATGGCACTAGGGTGACATGGTGTCACATTATGATGGCACTAGGGTGACATGGTGTCACATTAAGATGGCACTAGGGTGACATGGTGTCACATTATGATGGCACTAGGGCGACAGTGTCACATAATGATGGCACTAGGGTGACATGGTGTCACATTATGATGGCACTGGGGTGACATGGTGTCACATTATGATGGCACTGGGGTGACATGGTGTCACATTATGATGGCACTGGGGTGACATGACATCACATAGTGGTGGCAATGAATGTACTTACTAATACTATAACAGTATACACTTAGCACTATAATGGGGAGCAGTATAACCACCATAATGGGGGCTCATTGACCAAAAAAGAGGGGATGTAACTGGCCACCAATGTAAGGAAAGCATTACCTGGGGGGGCATACTGACAAGCAAATGCATGATTGATCTTATGCCCCCCCAGTTATATTTAGTTTCTTCCATGTCTTTAAGTAGATCTCCACCTCTCTCAGGTTGCCTGGCCCTGGGTTAGGATGAATAAAGTATCCATTTTTTTTTAATTACACCGAGACATTTGAGTACTGACCCCCTTTCCCAGCACATTTTGGACTCACCTGATGGATGATGTATATGCCGTAGTTGAGCTGCTGTCGCTGCAGGAACGGATGTAGAAAGTACAAAAGATATTTAAGGTGCTGCTCCCTGTTCCGGTGAGGGATGATGACCGCCGTTTTATGGTTGGACTCGCAGTCCGGCGGCTTGTAACGTCCTCCGCTGGTCACGTACGGGTTTTTATGTTTCACGTCTTCAATTGTCAGGGACTCTGGCAGCTGGACTCTGATTGGCCCCCCTGAAACAGGAAAAAGAAATGGATCTCAGAAAAGGAGCGCATCGGGCTTGTAAAGGAAGCATAGATTGTGTGATATGCATAGGAGTTTAAAGTGTATGTGAATGCTATTGATCCCCAATCATTCAGTGCACTATAAATCATGATAGGATCATACAGTCTCCTGGTTTTAATAAAATATCACTGTGTATATATATATGGCTGCAACAACTAATCGACATAATCGATTATAATCGATTATTGAAAAAGTTGTCAACGTTTTCAATAATCGATTAATCGGCTTCCGATCAGTTGGCCCTGTTCACAGCTCCACACGCTGTGCGCCGCACCTCCTCCCCACCTCACGCTCGGCGCTGCCAGACCCGCTCGCATCCACGCTCCACACGCCGCACCTCCTCCCCGCCTCACATTTCCTGCCCATCCACGATCGGCAAGGCACGCGGGGAGATGTAGTAAGGAGGAGCAGGGGTGGGGGGATGAGAGCCGCTGATAGACAGGTCCAATCTCAGAAGCAAGTTGCTGGAAGACTGGTCAGGTAAGCCTGCACTTTCCCACACATGGTGCTCTATAATGTATTGCTGGGATTTGTATTTCTCTATAGCTGATGGTACATTGTACTGTACATTATACATAGGAATACAAATACCAGCAATGCATTATACACTGTATGTATAATGTATTGCTGGGATTTGTTGTACTCCTCTATAGCTGGTGATATTCTGCATTGCGCTGTATAGAGGACTACAAGTCCCAGCAATAATACATTATACAGCGCAATGCGGAATACCACCAGCTATAGAGGACTACAACAAATCCCAGCAATAGTACATTATAAAGTGGTACAATGCTAAATACCACCAGCTATAGAGGACTACAAAACCCAGCAATAGTACATTATACAGCGCAATGCAGAATGCCGCCAGCTATTATGTACTATTGCTGGGATTTGTTGTATTCCTCTATAGCTGGCGGTATTCTGCATTGCGCTGTATAATGTGCTTTTGCTGGGTTTTGTAGTCCTCTATAGCCGGTGCCATTCTGCATTCATTGCTGTATAATTTTACACTTTCCATTTCACTATATTGCACACCACACTATCTTTTTTTCTTTTTTTACTTCCACCGCTCCAAGCTTGCTCCTGTGATGGACTACAACCTCAATACAAACTAGTAGTCCTATCACTGGAGCCATTTTTTAAACTTTATTTTATTGTTTATCCGATTAACCGATTAATCGAACTTAATAATCGGCTAACTAATCGATTTTGAAAATAATCGTTAGCTGCAGCTATATATATTATTATTATTTTTTACTTTTATAAAGTGATCAAGTGATGTAGTAACCACTACTCTAGCTTCCAGGGCTGGTGAAGGCTGAAGTCTTGAGTTGACAATTGGTAGCTTCCACCAGCGTGGCGTCCGCTCTTTTGTCTCCATGGGGAACACCATTTAAGTCTATGAGGCTCAATTCTTCCTGACAAGAAGCTCTTGTACTTATTCGAGATGCAGGCATTTTGCTACAAGCAACAGAACACTCATGGGTGAAAAGAGGCCATTGAAAACAATGGAATCCCACTTGCTGAGTGTTGTAGTGCTTAGTCAATCGGGCTACAAAACGCCTTGGTGTGATAAAGGCCTTAATGTATTTTATGCGTGGTATTTTCCTTTAAAGGCCCCCATGCGTAGACATCTGAAAGCCCTGAGCTTGCCGACGCATCCCGCCATCTTGGATGTGGTGTCAGCCGTCCCAGCAGACTCATAGCTGTCACTCTATATTATTCTCCTTGGCTCTTCCCCCACCAGATACATAAATGATTATGTAGGGAGGTGAAGGGTGGAGGAGCTGGGAGAGCACATAACGTAATTAGACACTCCCAGAAGAGGAGAGGGCTATGAGATGCAAGGAGCGAGAGGGGCTGTGCTAGGCAACTGAACTTGCTAGCAAATCAGACTAGTTTAGAAGAGTCAGAGGCACATTGGAAGATAATAAAGAAACATTTTTGGAAGAAACTTAAGAAAAAAATACTGAAAAAAATCATGCAAAATACTTGTTCTGTGGCTTTACCTGCAATTTAGTTGGTGACAGGGTCTCTTTAAGGTCCAGTAATAATTATAAACAAAAAGCTGGACAAAAGGGCTGTTTTATAGTGTCTAGCGGTCTATGTCAAAGTCTATATCACAAAATCCCTGGCTTGTCCGATGGGTCATTAAAGGCTGCCGCCTCGTTCACATTACATTTAATTACTTTTTTAAATCTCTTTCTGACCAGTAAATGCTGACACTAGCGCTATAGGCTCCCATAAATACCAAGTCATTAGCTGTAATCCCTGCATCTCAACAAGAAGGGCTAGCTCCCTTTCCAGGCTCATTAAAGCGTTGGTCCAGATCGTGACTAGATGTGGTTGGTATGGGATGAATGTATAGGACAGGAGGCAGGCATTGCAGGAAATGCTCTTCTTTGCGTCTGGACCACTGTATCGAAAACTGAACCCCCCAAAAGCTGGCAAGGTGAAGCTCTGCAAGAGGAACATTTTTACTACATCAAACTTTTCGGACACTCCAGGTTTTGTTTATGGCAATTATAGCCGTATTGGTGCACTTGCCATTCAGACTTGTGATTGGGGCTACACTGTGAATTCCAGCAGCTGGAATCACCAATGTGCGCGAATATCTGCGGCCAGGAAGCCTGTTCAAAGCACTGACAGGCTGACAGTGGCCACAGATGTCCGTGGCTGTGCGCACGTCCAGCGATTACCTGTTGCCAGGGACAGATGACCGTTCCTAGACTGTGCAGACAAATTTGCATCCAGGGATGATCTGTCCCTAACTACAGGTAACCACTGGATGTCCAATTACATCCAAACAGCTGTAGCTGCCCGTTGCCCTTTAAGTGCAGGCAACTATTTGCGCACACCGGTGACTCTAGAAGCTAGATTCCACTGATTTTTACCATTGGAATTTGCAGTGTAGCCCTAATCACAAGTGTGAATGAGGTCCTAAAGTTTCAGGGCAAGATTTCGGGGGTCTACCCCTTTCTTCCCGATCCAAGCAGTACTGATACACAAAGGTTTAGCAAAATGTTAAGAAAAAAAATTGGCAAACACGGCAAAAAAAAAAGGTAATACATTTGAGAAAGTACAGGCCCCCATGGACAACTCAAATTTTGGCCAGTTCCTGCTAAACTAGCCTACATTCAAGACATGCATGGCCTTACAAGCACCATCAAGTTCAACAGAAGCCGATTTATGAACTGTCTGAGCCGGGTGGAAAAATTGCTGGTCAAACATGGACTGTGTACTATCAGATGTAGTTACTGTTCTTCAGCCAGCGCCACTGTAAGTGCCGTGGCTGCCCTAATACAATAGCCGGAAGTGGAGATTCCTCCATCCACACTGTTGGCAAGGATGGGGAAATCCATTTGTTTTTTGTTGTTCGTCCCAAATGTGCAGTGCATGACCTAGGGGTTGAGAAGGAGGCTAAAGAATGGGACGGGTAAATTAGGGAGGGGTGGTGGAGGATGGGTAAATTGGGGAGGGATGGTAGAGAATGGGACGGGATGGGTAAATTGGGGAGGGTGGAAGAGAATGGAACGGGATGAGTAAATTGGGGAGGGTGGAAGAGAATGGGACGGGATGAGTAAATTGCGGAGGGGTGGTGGAGGATGGAATGGTTAAATTGGGGAGAGGGGTAGTCACAGAGGTGAGAATGGTCATACAACTGATTAATGGCGATTTATGAAATTGAAGTCCACATTCAGTCCATTATCTCTTATATCAAACAGAAATATCATTCATAGGTCAATCATTTTTCTTTTCAGGGATGGGAAAACCTTTGAACTACAAATTATAATTCTGTTTGACATAGCTTGACATGGCTTGATTTTTTTAATGAGCCTGCAGAAGCCAGTGCATTGCACCCACGATCTACTGATCACAGTTGCGATGCTTTACTGGCTCCTACGCAAGACGTGTGTTTTGCTTCGTTTTGTTTTTTTCTGCAAAAGCTGGAATTTCCCTTGAATGCAAACAACCCAGCAAAACAAGAAGGTGTTAAAAGCAAAATACCTCCGGGGGAAGGGAGGGAGTTGAAGTACCACTTCAAATAAAATGTAACAAATTACGAAGATGGTGTTAAAAACAAAGACGTGAAATTTGAACAAATTACAGGCAGCGCAGAGTGAAGATTTGTTCCCTCTCTTCAACAAATTTGGGCTTCAACTGTAAATATTTGGCCTACAAAATGAACAGGAGAGAAATTAAAGCCGTTAAAAGCGGCTAAGAGCAACTGCCACCGTGGCGCGCGGATGCAGTTATCGGTGGCCGGCAGGTGAGAGGCGAGCTCTCGGCTCTGTTACAGTTTTACAGTTGCGGCCAAATAAAACGAGGTCTAAATAGAGTTGGGTATTGATTACAGCATCCAATAAAAGCTGAACGTGTGGCTCTGTCAAGCTGCACAATTTGGCATCAATGGGAAGCGAGAGGCAGATGTGATAATAAAGCTGGTTGAAATGAAACGCTGTGAAGGAAAGCTGGCAGAGTTATGAACGTATTTCACAGCGAGAAGATGCCTGCACAGCAACCAGTCCACTCAATGTACCTGAAAACAAACCGAATGGATTACACAGTGGCAAGGTGAAAGTGTATTTAAAGCGAAACCCTTTTTCATTGTTTTGGGTAGCGTATGGAAGTTTAGTTTGAAAACCCTCATCGGGTCCATGTGGTTGCTTGATTCACCCACTATATCTGTCTTGGTCACCATGTTAGTTAGTGAATATGAAATGCAAAATTTTACAGTTGTACCAAAACAGGAGGTAAAAGCTTAGGTTTAGCACTTCCATGTGTATTGTAGGAATACCGGACCCCGCGTGGGAATGGGGATGGGTAGTCCAGAACCTGTACTTTTTGGAGACAGTTCTCCATTGGCAAGAATCCTTGGTGTTTGTAGAGCATTTGAAGAATGAGAGCGCCACACCAAAAATTAGGTCCTACTGCTTGCTGTGGACTC